TGTACGGGAAAACTGGTCTTGTATACCTATCAGCCACAATGGCGAGATGTGTCTTTCGAGAAACTTGTTAGGACCAATTGAAAGCTCGGCTGACTCCTCGTCAACAGCAATCTGAAACTTAGCGATAGGCATAAACCACCAATTAACACAACGTTACTGAATGATGCCAACTGATATTTGGTTTGATAAAGTCGCCATCAGAATCAATAACTATAATAATAATTTTTGGCTCAGAGGGATGACGAAAACTTTGGACGATCCAAATTCAGTTAGCAACCTTCTGTGCTCCCTATTTAATAATGCCTTCAATCGTACGTCGCCTGAACTTTCATCAGCCTAGTCCACGAGTTGCCATTATCGCTCAGAACACAGATGGCGTGACGAAAGGATTTCATTTAACTTTCCTCTCGGATTAATGTGGACAATGACCCCAGTCCTTCCGTCCATATTTGTAATCAGAATCTCATTTTCCTTAACAAAACTTCCTGGAGAGCATAAAAAGTGTTGGTAATTCCGGCTGTCAGAGTTTCGTTAACTGACAGCTGCAATGTTCATAACAGGTCTTCATCGCATTTTGGTAGTGGCTCAAAAGTATATAGTCCATCTTACTTCACTCTGCCACGCAATCCTATACTTTGGTCTTTGGCAGCTTTCTGTGACCGAGGATGTTTAAATTCGATTACGAAAAGCGAAACCATCAAAACCGAGCTAGAATAATAATTTAAGCAGACATGTAAAAGTCCCAGAAACACATGATGAACTTCAAAGGATTGTTTTGTAAAAAAAACTCAGACACTTAAAAACGAATTTTATCCGGACAAATCAACGAGAACCGACTGGAATGCAAGAAAGGACACCTACCTGGCCGCCGCACAGCTTGATTAATTCTCTAATATCTTCTGCTGGAGGACTTACGTCTTGGTTGACAAACAGCGGGCCAAGGCAGCGCAGAGGAGGATCGTTTTTCAGCTTTTCGATGGCACTTCTTTTAAGAATCACTTCCTGACCCTAGGTAGAACAGTTTTAGCGATTTTAACAATAATGGAAAAAGCACTAATTAACACACCGTCGAAAATGCAATTCACAACACGATATTCCAAATGATGCAAAATTTATCATAAAGCCCTCTTTTTGTATAATTTTTCAAAAGTGTCCTGGGTCAAATCTGTCAAAAGCCTAGAATAACTGATTATGACGGAACTTTCGCAACGAGAAATGGTGTCCCTTTCTAAATGCACAGTAATTATTATGCAAGGTAAAAGGAACTATACTTTGGTCCGAACAGTCCGCCATTGCAAATGAAAAATATTTCAGGCTTTGAACCGTTTTTCATATTGCTTTATATTTATAGGAAGTTTGTTAATGTCGATCTGTACTAAATAAAAGGACCGACAAATCATTTGCAAGCTTAAATTGAGTTCATCAGTAGAAACTTCAAATATCATCACCGCATGACAACTTTGTCATACACAAAGTCCCCAAAGAATCGGAGCATACTCTATCTATTTTCTGAGAATGACGTCGGATAAAGCAAAATAATGTTACAGTTTTAAAAGAGCTCAGTGATTAAACAACGAAAACTTACTATGCACGAATAGACGGTGAGGGGGAAGTCATCTTCTGGCAACCATCTTCCAGCACGTGAAGATTCCGTAATCTGTACATATAAACTACTATACGATAAACCAAAACATCTAAACTGTGCAAATCTCCAACAGAATAATACCACGCAAAAAAATTATTATACACAAAACCTCTAACATTATGGATCATACTCGATTCGTCTTCCGGGAATGAAATCTGACAAACCAATGCCAGTAAAAAATCATTAATTAATAAGCTATGAATAACCTACTGAAAAGCTGGTACAAAGTCGCTTCAACCTGGCACCAGATTTGCAAGCACCATCTTTCAAAGAAAACTAATTAATCAATAATAATGCTTAAAAAGTTCACAAAAAGAAAGCCTACCTGACAAGAAAAAGAACGAGTCAGTTTTCACAGCATCTGATTAAATGACAAAATCCTGGACAAAAATGCCATGACTGGAATATGGGCATAAAACATACGTGAAAAAGAGTAGCCAGCGTAATTCCAGATAATGTGGGTATTTATTGAGATCATCCCCTTGACATGTTTGTATAAGCAGAACCTCTCTAGGTTGTGATTCCTGCTGTATTCATGACATTACGACAATTTTACAAGGAAATATTCCTCTCCGGTGTTCTTCAATGTTGCATGCTGGTCGTGTTTCGATCCTGACGAAAAGCTCACAGAACTGAATAAAAGGTTGATGCTCAATCTGTCTATCTAACAAGGTCAACCTTCTTTTCTTTCTCCGCTTCTACTAAAGGTCGGCTCTGCTCGGAAGAGAACAGTCATTCCATACGTGGTGCTGCTATTTAACCCTCGTTATGCGTCTAAGCCGACGCTGCTGTAGGCAGTTCAACCGTCGTTATTGCTCTTTTGCATAGAACAACTGTCTGCATGCCGTTACCGACAGAAGCAAAGTACAGGCAGATTTGCATGGAACAATTACTTCTTTCTCAGTTTAAATTGGACAAGTTTTCAAATGCACTCGAAGCTAGCGCGATTCTCCTATTTAATCCTGGCTGGATAGTGCTGTCGCTGGATATGAGATATCTAAACTGGCCAACGTCGACCTTCTGAAGGGCTTCATCTTCCTGTTCCATTGTAGATCAGCTGAGTCGGATGGGATCCTCAACTTCTAGCGCCCGGGCGTTAAGAAGGAGGCCGGCTTTCGCATCTCTGTTGCATAGAGAAGCCGTCAGGCGACAGAGCCTGCTTTCCGTACTACTCAACAAGACAATATCATCTGCCCACTCCAGATCAACAAGATATCTAGCCGGATAATTTGAACAGCGCATTCCCTCTAGAATGACACCTTTGTCTTTGCCATGATCAAAAAATAATGTCAAGAGCAATGCTGAAGAGAAAATGCGAAACCACATCTCCCTGGCTAACTCTGCAGTTAACAGGAAACCACTCAGATAGCTCTCTTTCAACTTTTACAGCAAACATGATTCCTGCAGACATCTGTTCCAAAACAAAAACTATGTACTCAGGCAGTCCAAAGCAATTTCAATATTTCCACGAACGAGGACGGTCTAATGAATCAAATGCAGCCTTAATCAGCATTGCACAGTGATCCTGTACCTGAAAAAACAAAAGGTACAATGCAATCGAAAATGTAACGCAGTGATGGAGTGTCGAAGTAAGCGCGATCCTGAGAAGAAACAGTTATTCAACAAAAACAACTAACGTAGAGAGCAGTTGCCATGATCAGAAACGGTCTGAAGGAAGTCTTGCCAAAGCAAAATTGAAAGCATGCGAAAAATTACCTATGACACTGGAAATGAAGGCAGGAGAAAAAAATACGTAGCACAGCCAAAGTCAGAAAAAGACTACTATACAAAACATTAGAAAAGTCAAGTGCATAAAAAAGAAAAAACAATATGCTGACGGGTGAAAAAATATTCACAACCAATGGCGAAGGAATTTTCAAATGTTAAATATTCAAAATGGAGCCTCGGTAGAGGTAAAACGAAATTAAGATTAGTTGAAAGAATTTCACCCATTGAAGCTAAAAAGGCCTTGGATATAAAGAAACATAAAAACATCCTCAGCCGAAATGGAACCTCCAAAAAAATAACAAACCATTTAAAGGAAAGGTTTACAGCCATGGCAAGTAAACCTTGTATCCTCCTGTTTACCTATATCAGAAGGATAAAAGGAGAGCGATCCGATCTGACCTGAGCTCATCATCTTTTGAATGTAAATTCGACGCCCCACGGATTATGGAATGAAATTCCAATGAAAAAAACAGAAAATATTAGAACTTGGCTGCAATTCAAACTTTGACCATGATAGACGGAACATGTTACTGTGATACCAACAGAAATGATCGTCGAACATTAGCGACTTTTGTGAAATAAATAGTAAACATACCCATTTAAATGAGAGGATGTGACACCCTCTTGCAATTCCGTACAAAACCTTCAACGTCCGATTCCTGTCACCGCAGATCACATGAGTCGTGTTCGTCGAAACGCTCTTCTCGAAGTAGAAACCACCCAAAGTTTTTACCACCTCACTCGCAAACATCTTTTGTCTAGGATAAGAAACAACAACTCATTTGAGATAAAAGTTTATTGAAATTAACTTACCTGAAAGACATGCAAGAAAGTACAATACTCAAATCATGGTTTGCGACGGGCTGAACCTTCTTCGTTCCGGTATGCTTTAGGGTAGAGGAATTTATTTTGCGACGATCAACGGACTTAATGGTAATAGAACCATGAGAACATCCAACAGAAAAGTCATCATCGCTTGAACTGTCCAAGATATATTTGCGACACCGTGTTAAGTTTTTGTTGGACAAATCGATGAAGCTTCGGCGCCGCGAATTGCCTATGTCTGCCAGTTTCTCGTTTTCACTGACGTCACTGTCTTCGCTCTGCTGCTTCTGATAGTCGGACGCTTCACATCGACCATATATTCCGTTGGTAGCAACTGGAATTATATCTTGAGCGGCGGGAGAACGACACTAAAATGAGAGGTTCTATCGATAAGCTTCTGATTCTTTTGTTGAGAACCGGAGACAACTTTACCTTGTTTGTAACCGGACCACCTAACCCAGCAAAAGTTCTCTTGTGCCTCAGTTTTTTATGCAGTTCTTTAGAATATGTGGCCTTTTTTCTGTTCATTTGCAATGCTGATGAGAAATCTTGTAGTTCACTCCTCTTATGCCTGAAAAATATGACCACATCAAAAATTATGAGTAGCCTAATGGACGTTGAAGACTTCACGTGCTACAATAAGCGAAAAAACAACAGATTGATATCAAACGATTACCCAACTGAATAGAAAGTCTACCTGCACGAACAGTTACAAATCAGCTGACTGCATCGAATATCAGCATAATACTTTTGTACTCTTTGTATATGTCGTTGTTTCCCAATGATAACCAGTGACCAAGATTGAACCCTAAATTGAGTTAATATTAACCCTCATTTTTTCATTAGTCTCTGTATTACCCGACATTTTCGATTATTCGATCATCCCGTTAGGTCGAATAATCGAAATTGCACTGTATTTAAACAATTGGGACACTCACAAAAAACGCTGACTTGTTCGTCGAAAGTATGTAAATAAAGGCATAGCTCTAAACAAACTAGATTTCATTCCATTTCTCCCTTTCTTTTAGATGTTTTGCTGGCCACTGAAAAAAGTCACGACTCTGTTTTATTTGATCACCTGCAGTGAGCAGATGCATCTTGCCTATTAAATCCTTTCAATGGAATATTTCAATATCAATATCTGGTCTGCTATCTTACAATGCAATCACTATAAGACTATCACATCTGTAGGCTGCTATTTCTTCAGAAAGTTTCGATATTTCCAAACAGAGACTATCGCAGCAGGCCTTTTTCTGAAATGTTGTATGTTAACATATGAAAGATAATGCTTTACTAACTACACGTATTCGCCTTTCCAGCAGCCGTAGACTGGAACTGATCTAGTTGTCTGGGTCTGAATACGAGATGCGGCAAACTTTGTCTTGAAGAAGATAAGTGGCTCACACAAGAAAACTTCAACCAATCTTTGCACGATATGCTCGAACATTAAAATATGTTCGTACACCGGAGTATGTCAGATGATATACGCTACC